GTTTGTGGTGCTGGGATCCCATACGTTCTGGCTGTTCTACTTCCCACCCAGCTCCCTGTTTGTGGCCTGGAAAAGCAGTCAAGGACTCCCCAAAGCCTTGGGACCCTGCATTCACGTGGGAGACTCGAAGGAAGCTCCTGGCTCCCTGCTCTGGACCAACCCAGCTCTAACCATTGCAGCTGTTTGGGGAGTGAACCAGCAGCTCAAACAGCTCTCTTTCTAAAATCGACCTTTCAAAAAAAAAAAAAAAAAGCAGAAGTGAAGAAAACCAAGCAGACCGTCCTGGATCAGACACAAGCAGAGAGCCACACCTGGGTCTGTCGGCATGGGCCCTGCCTCTGCTGCACATCCTAGAGCACTGCCGCTCCGTGGTGGCAGGGCCTCGGCTCCACACCCTAGGAATCTGTGGGCCTTTCAACAGCACCCCTGTCCTCCACTCATCTGCCCTTGCTCCAGTCACAACAACTGAAACTTGGACCCTGGTTGGGTGAGAGCTCCCCCCAGGCTGAGAACAACTCTAGAGATGACACTGGGACAGATCATGGGTGCCAGGGTGGGCACCCTAAGCTACAGGCTGGGAGGCACCTGCCACCACTTCCCCTGCCCCGATGTGATGTCCCACAGTCACTCGGCATGTACCCAGGGCCCACCAGCCTCAGGAGCCCTGGGTACCCATTCCCTATCCAACAGTAAGACGAGATGGGTTCTGTATGCAATTCATGAGCACAGGCCAAAAGCCAAACGAGCATCCTTGGTCTCCTGGTGCCCACCTAACACAAGACCTCACCCCATAGGTGGAGAGGACAGAGCCTGCCCCAATGAACTCCAGGAGGGTGCACACAGCCTTTGCCAGCTGGGGTGGCCCCATGGGCTCCAGGTGTGTGGAACTGTTGCCATCCTATCCTGGCAACTCACACGCTTACCAGTGAGGTTTACAAGCGCCAGGAATTCAGGGCTGGAATGATGGCTTAACCGGTTAATCCTCTACCTGTAAGTGCTAGAATCCCAAATGGGAGATAGTTCATGTCCCAGCTGCTTCACTTTCCTTCCATTTCCACGCTTGTGGCCTGGGAAAGCAGCAGAGGATGACTCAAAGCCTTGGGAACTTGCACCCATATGGGAGACCTGGATGGAGCTCCTGGTTCCAGATTGGCTCAGCTCTGGCTGTTGGAGCCACTTAGGGAGTAAACCAGTGGGCTGAAGATCTTTCCTCTCTCTTCTCCTCTTTGTAAATTTGCCTTTCGAATAAAAATAAATAAATCTTTTGTGCAGTTACTCTGTCGTTCTAGAAAGCACACCTGAACACAAGCCCTGGAAAACCCAAAGGAAATGGAAAGGCAGGAGGCCAAGGCTGCATGGGCAATGGCTGCCAGCGCTTTGCATGGAGCTGCCTGTGACCCAGTGACACCACACAGGCAAAAAAATGCACAGGTCACCACCTGCTCTGGCCTGCACATCTGCCAACCCACTGCCCATTCTCGGGCCCATGCAAGGGTTCCAGGCTCGACAAAGCCAGAACTGGCCCAGACAGAAGACCACCCCACGAGGCCAGCAATGTCCCCGGCCGGCTCTGCTCCCTCCTCTGAGGGACGGACACTCGGTTCTCTGTCTTTGTCTTGTTTTACAATCATTTACTCGACCCACCGAGAGCTGCTGGGGTTGAGAAAGCTGAACTCAACGGCGCCATCCATCTTGCCATCACCCTGGTGTCAATGGACGCCGCACCCCAGTGACCCAGGCCTTTGGGAGCGGAAACCTCCTAAGGAGCGGAGTCAAGGGGAAACCATGAAGTAATTCTGTGTTTGACTTTCCCTGTTCCAAGAAAAGGACTGAGCAACGGAGGCCAGTGTGCGGTGCCCTCAAGCTTTTGCAGTTTCTTTCCAGGGGCGGGTGCCTGAAGATCCCTCCTGCCCCCACACCAACCCCAAATCCTGCAGATGCTACTTGAGCGTTCCTGGTGGAGAGCCTGGCTGTGCTAAAGGCTAAGCACACAGTTAGCTTTTTCTGTCTCTGGTCTGTGTGTGTGTAAGACCAACAGGGGTTTCTGGCTCTCCACGCCACCCCAGGGATCCAGTACTGGGTTTCAGCAGGCTTAGGGCACAGCCTAACCCAACGTGGGCTCTGATCCCCGTGGCAGTCACACCAACCACACCAGCTCCTGGAGGCAAAAACCAACCTGCCCCTCAGAACAGGAACCAGGCACAATGAGACGCCTATAAAAAGTGGGTTGTTCAAAAGAACCAAATGGACGCTGTAACACATTCACAGTAAGATCTGGGGCAACCACAGGAGTCTCTGTTACTGAAGAAAGAATACTCTGTCTTCCAGAAATGAATAGACCTAGAACAGTTTGAAAGAAAGAAAGAAAGAAAGCTAGCCTCACCATGTAACAGTTTCCACTGAGTCTCCCCAAGGATATTAAACTCCTAAAGTGCTACTAAAAAAAAGCTCCAAGTCATTGTTAAAACTTTTAAAGGATTTAGACAAGGGGAGTACAGAACAAAGAGTTTCTGAAAAATTTAAATTCAAAAGAGAAGGAGGGGCACACCTCCAGTTTTGAGTAATTGCTACCCAACGCCCCCCTAACCCGGTTTGTGATCTTCAAATCCAAGCCAAGGTAAATTCTGGGTCAGGGATTAGGCCCCAGCAACTCAGCATTTGTACAACATTTTGGCAGGTGCTCTGCGAGGCAGTCTATAATTAGCCAGGAAGTCTCAAATGAAACAAACTCGAAGGGTTTCTGATGCCAGCAGCCAGTCCCCACCCCTCCCCAGCACTGAGGCCCGCTGCAGCACGGTGCCTGCCTTGGTTGGAGCACACGTGGGTACCCGCACACGCCAACTCTCCAGTGTCTCTTTTTTCAAAGCCCTAATGGCTTGACCTCAACACCTGCTGCACTTCCTGAAGACAGACAGGCTCTGGAGCTGCACTTGTTCCGCGCACGCGGCGGCACTTTCTAGGAACAACCGCACACACGCCGCGGCTGGCCGGCTGCCAAGGCGGGGGCAGCCCAGCCGCCTCGGGCCTGAACTTTCCCAGCGCTGTCAGGGCGGGATCCCACTAGGGGCTGACTCAGCGGCCGCCATGGAACTCTGCCAACCACACAGGCAAGCGGGGGTGGCCGGCAGCTCACAGATGTTTTGCTAAATCGAAGCAATCAGCCGGGAGGCGGGCCCGGGCTGGCAGCCAGGGCACTGCTGTCGTGGAAGTTGGGATTCTCTGACTGCTGTCCCAGAGTGCGGAGACGTGTGGCTCCGCGTCTGGCCCTGCCTCAAGGGCGTGTCCTTGTGGATACAGGAGCACCACCACCACCTGCCACGTGCCTGGGCAATGGATTGACTGTAACACGTGCCAGCCCAAGGAGCTATCACTTCTTCCTTCACAAGTGAGAAGACTTGGGGGAGGGCGGAAGACGAGAAAATGTCAGGCTGGGAACCTCACTTCTCACTGCTGCAAGCCCTGTCTCATCTGACGTCTCACAGGCCCCATGTGAACCCACAGTTCTGAGGCCTTGAACCCAGCACCCTGGGCCTACACATGCAGAACGCTGAGCTGCCACTGGCTTGTTGTCACTCCCCACCTGAGCATCCATGTCACTGGACCTGCCCCAACTCATCGCTCCCATTCTTTGGGTGAGCCAAGGCCACAAACAAAAGATGGAATCAGAGGGGCTGGCACAGTGGCACAGCGGGTTAAGCCGCTGTCTGCAAGCACCAGCATCCCATCAGAGCTCTGGTTCGAATCTCAGCTGCCCCACTTCCCATCCAGCTCCCTGCTTAAATGTCTGGGAAAGCAGCAGAAGATGGTCCAAATGCTGGCGACCCTGGCCACTCACGTGGGAGACGTGGATGAAGCTCCGGCTCCTGCAGCCCTCTGGGGAATAAACCAATGGATGGAAGAGCTGTGTGTCTGTTTCTCACTCACTCCTGACTTTCAAATAAATAAATAACTCTTTCACTCTTTCGTAAGAACACCAACTGCAGTGATTTACCTCACAGGGCGGGGCCTGGGCATTGTGCTCCCAAACTCGTTTCTGTTTTCTTCTTTTAAACATTATTTATTTGAAACATAGAGTTGTGAGAGAGAGAATCCTCCATCTGCTTTCCTGGCCTAGAGAGGGATTTTGAGGTCTACCCATTCCTACTTCCTTTTTCTTCTCCCTCTCCCACCTCGTTTTTCTTTTTTTTTTTTGGGGGGGGGGGTAGGTGGTAGTGGTGAATTTGTTTATCTGAAAGACAAATTTACACAGAGAGATCTTCCACCTTCTGATTCACTCCCCAGACGGCCATAACGGCCAGGATTGAGTCAGGCCAATGCCAAGGGGTTCTTCTGGATCTCCCACATGGGTGCAGGGGCCCAATGACCTCGGCCATCCTCCACTGATTTCCCAGGCACATTTAGCAGGGAGCTGGATCTGAAGTAGAGCAGCCGGGACACAAACTGGCGCCCATTTGGGATGCCGGCATTATCGGTGGTGGTGGCTTTACCCACTGCACCACCACTCCGGCCGGCCTGTCCCTATTTCTAAGGAGATAATGGGGAGATGTTCTCTGTAGGCACACACACAACTGCACGTGCCTCTTATCAGCTCTGATCAGCTGCAAAAAGAACACAGCGTCCTCAGAGAGCCTGGCTTTGCCAAGAAGCTGAATACAGGCAGGATGGCTCTCTCGACGTCACAGACCTATAATTAGAGCCCCACATCTCATTTTAAGACAGCCCTCAAAACATTCGCGCAAGCTCATCCTTCCTTTAGAGACAGAGAGACGGCGCTGCCATTCCCTCACTCCACTGAGAATAATATGTTAAGAGTGACTTATGCACTCCATTGCTTGAACAAGGAAAACAAACGCCAAGCGAGAAAAATGCTTCCCAGGCTATTCACACAGGTCTGGGGTAGCAGTCCCGGAAGGCGGCTGGCAAGACCCAGCTGGCACAGCGCCGGTGCCCTCCCAAGCCTTCAGGAGGGACACGTGACCTCCCCTGGCAGAAGCACGCACCTGCTTGAGCTGCTCGTCCAGATTCCAGCTTGGCTGCCCGGCAGTGGCCACGGCAGGTGCGGCCCGCGAAGCATCTTTGGTATCTTCTCTGGCTTGGTGTCCATGCGCAGGGAGCCCCGGCTGTGCTGGAAGCATGCTGCCAGAAGCCGGGGCCACTCTGGGCTCCTGACGAGCTGTTTTGTGCACAGCAAAATATTTGGGAGCCGCCTGAGCCTCCTGGTCATCTGCCTCCGCATCTTCTTCATCCCCGTCGGCATCTTCCAAGCCACCTTCGTCTTCCTTAGCGTCTGTGTTCCCGTGGCTCCGCTCGAAGACCCGGGCCACGGTGGAGGCTGGGAGAACTCGGGCAGGGGGAGCCAGGACAGGGCTGCCAGCCAACCTTGGGGCAGACAGCAAGGCCGGCTGGGTCGTTAGCTTCTGGGCATACAGCCCTGAGGCGTCTCTGGTTGGCTGCCCCTGCTGTGGCCGAGTCTCCATCTGCTGAGGAGTCAGGTGTGGCGGCGGCAGTGGCGGCTGCTGCGGGGGCTCCATTCTGGCTCCCAGCTTCACCCGCACACAGGCATGGCTCAGAGCAGAGCGCAGCCTGGCAGGCTCACTGGGCCTAAAACCTTCAACAATTAAAAACAAACAAAAAAAAAACTATGTAAAACCCGTAGAAAAGGCATCCTGTTCTCTCCTCAGGAGACTTGCTGTTTTGAATATCAAACGCGCTCCTAAGCCTGACATTGCTGTTGTTGTCGTTTAACTTGGGGGGGGGGGATGCTGGGGGGGGCGGTTGTGCAGGGAGTTCCCAGGCAGTGGAGGCTCCTGAGCACTTTAAAGAGAGCAAATCCAGACTCGATCTGGTCGGCTGACGTGTGCATTCTGCACTCTCTCCCTCTAACCAGTCATCTGTTTATTCCTGAGAAGACAGCTGAGGTTCTCCATAACACGGGGGTAGTCACTGTGAAGACCGCGGGGGATAAAAAAAAAAAAGACGGGGTGGCTCCAAGGGAGGACACCCCACCGTTACCAGGCCCACTGGAACCTCGGGCCGGGGAAGCGACTTGGTGCAAGATGAGATCAGGCTCCCCTTGCCTCAAAGCTCCCCGAATTGCCCAGCTCAGATCGCCTACCCGCTGGGCGGCTGGCGGGGTGGCAGGAGCCGGGTGAACTGGACACGAAAGAATCCAATTTCAACAACATGAAAGAAAGAAACATGGGGGGCAGGGGGAGTTGGAGGGTTCAAATTGCAACCCTTGCTCAAAAAAAAGGGAGGGGGATTCCTCGGGAGATCTGAAAGTTAATTAATTTGAAACATATCAATATTGCCTCCTAAACAAGCGGATTCTTCTTCCTCTTCTTTCCACTCCCCGCTGCCAGCAGCCAGCCAAGTATTTCTCCCACACTGCTTTCGGATTCGCTCCCGGCAAAGGTACTCTACCACAACAAAACGAATACAAAAAGAAAGGGCACGGGAGGCCAAAAGCCTTCTGGGGGTAGGTTTATCTGCATTCTTACCAGCCCTGTCTCCAAGCACACCCCCTCCTCTTCCTCCTCTCCCCCTTCCAGCTATCCACACTGTGCCGTCCTGCCCCCAACTCCCCCATAGCAAGCCTCCCTGCAGTGGTCTCCCCCAAAAGCTTGAAGAATCAACACAGGGTGTGTGTGGGATGGGATCACCGTGCACCCGCAAACTTGAGGGTGCACCAGACCTGCACCCCTGCTTACAATGTTGTTATCACAGGGAAGCCGGCGCTGCCTTGCACAGGCTGGGACTTGATACTCGCATTGTTCCAGCGTTTGGGACAGGGTCAAGGGGGATGGAGGGGTGGTTAAAAAAAAAATTCTCTTTAGCATCTTCAAAAATTCATGAGGCAGTAATCATACCCTTAGCAAGAAAAACTTGGCATTTACGAATTTTTTTTTCTTATAGATAAGGAAGGAGGTGGAGGATTAGGGACATTGGTTAAAGCGAGGCCAAAAAAAAAAAAAGTAGAGATCTTAAAAAAAAAAAAAAAAACTTCTCACTCTCGGGTTTATCTTAGAAAGCACTGACCGTGCCTTTTGTATTTCCGAGAAAAGACTCAAGTTCCAGCGAGCCTCGCGCCCCGCCTGCCCACGCCGACTTCCCCTCGGGACACTCGGAGAAGCTCTCGTTCCGCCTTGAGCTCCCGCAAGCGGCATCCCCGGGGCGGGGCGGGCTGGAGCGGCCGCACGCCCACCCCCAGCCCCGCTCGGGAGCCGGGAGCCCCGCAGTCCGCAGCCCAGGGGATGCCGCTGCCTGGAGCCCGCAGCCCGGAGACCCTCAGCCCGCAGCCCCCGGGGACTCGGGCCCGCAGCGCGCGGCTCGCTCCACCTGCCCGCCCCGGGCCGCCCCCCACCGCCGCTCCCCGAACTTCCCGGGGCGCGGAGCCGGTCACCCCGCCGCCGCCGCCGGCTGTCCCCGGGCGCGCCCCTTTCCCTGCATGCCCTCGCACGGGCACCGGACGCCCTTCCCGGGACCCACCGGCCTCGCCTCCACCTGCCGCGGCGCCCCCTCCGGCCCCGGAGCCCCCCGCGCCTCACCTGCGTGCGGGGCCGCCCGCGTCCGCCCGCCGCGCCCGGCCGTCTCGGCCTCCTCCGCAGCCGGGGGGCCACAGCCGGGGCGGGGCCCGCACCGGAAGCGGCGCCGCTGGCCGCACCGCGGGGCCCGGGCGGGGGCGGGGCCGCACGGGGCGGGGCGGGGCGGGGCCCGGAAGCGGCGTAAAAGGGAAAGGAGGGGTGGGGCGGGGCGGAAATGACTCCTCGGAACGGCCCCGCCCCCGGAGTCTAAGGGCGGAAAAGGGTGGAAGCTGGCTGCAGCTTCAGCCAATGGAAGAGAGTAGGCGCGGAGGAGTTCCGGTGTGGGCACTTCCGCGGGCAGTTGAAAAGAGCCGAGCTGGCGACGGCATCTCGTCCGGCTTAGTGTGTTCGTACTGCGGGTGGAAGCTGTTGCCGCAGCAGGCCGAGTGTCGGGAGGAAAGTTAATAAACAATAGCCTGGTCTTGGGGTTTTCTGTCGTTCCGGTCCCTCCTGACCCACACTTCCCTGGACGTCTCAGCTCCTTGCGCCGCCTCCAGCTCGCCCCCTGTGGACGCTGCTCCCCTGGATGCCCTCTGCGGTTTGGGGGGCCACCCGGTCGCTATGTGCACCCAGCCCTGCTCTGACTTTGCTGACCCCCATTCGACCTGGGGCCAGGTGTCCAGCGGTCCTAACGTCCACCTCCCAGTGCCCGCGTGCATCTGCACCTGGTTCCTAGAAACGTGGAGGCAGTGACTGGACTGCTCTGTGTTCGCGCCCCACGCGGCCCCTGCTTTCACTTTATCGAGCGGACGCCCTCCACCCCTCACTTCCTCCTTGCACCGCGGCAGAGTAACAACCCCCCACCACTACCTATTTTTTTAAACCACTCATTCCCATTCCAACACTCCCTTTTTTGTGATCACAAACCCCCCGCCCTGGATACTTACCCACGCTTGTACTTTGCCATAGATTGTCCTGCTAAACAGGCTGGCATTAACCTTAAATGGATTCATGACCTGTGACAGACCGCAACATCCCCTGAGGGCGCTGGGTGGACTCCTGGATGCTCCCCATCCAGCAACCCGCGAATGTTGTGGGAGAGCAGCTGGAGATGAGTACTTGAGCTCCTGGCTTCCCCCTGGCTCAGCCCTGGTCACTTTAGCCATTTTGGAGTGAACTAGAAGATGAGGATCTCTGTCTCTTCCCCCTCTGTAACTTTTCGTTTCAAATAAAGGAAGAGTGTTTATTTGAAAGGCAGAGTTACAGAGAGAAGGATAGACGGAGGCAGAGAGAGATCTTCCATCTCCGGGTTCACTCCCCAAGTGACTGCAATGTCCGGAGCTGAGCAGATCCCAAGCCAGGAGCCAGGAACCAGGAGTCTCTTCCAGGTCTCCCATGTGGGTGCAGAGTCCCAAGACTTTGGGCCATCGTCCACTGTTTTCCAAGTCCACAAGTAGGCACTGGATGAGAAATGGAGCAGCTGGAACACAACTGGTACCACGTGTGGTTCCAGCACTGCAAGGCAGAGTGTTAGCCTTGTTGAGCCACTCCGCTGTCCCCTAAACTTTTTTTTTCCTAAGATGCAATTGTGATCAGAAATTCATTATCTTTTTTCAGGCCTGTTTGTTCTCCACTCTGCAAATCCCGAATTCTTCCTGTCCAAATCCAGTTGTCTCACTCTTTGAGTCACAGAGATTGTAGGAAGCCCTGAAATCTAGAAGTCTACTTATATGAATGCCCATGTTCTTCCTTCCCATTTCCTCCATCAAAAAATGTTCCTAGAACTCCCACCGTGTGCTGGATTTGGGGAGACAGGAAAGCCGGGTGGCTGGAATGTGAGGGCCGGATGGCTGTGTCCAGCCGCTCTTATCTGAGACATTAGTCAGAGGGGGACTGTTTGATAAGGAGCCCTTAGGCAGAAACAAGTTAACCTTATGGGAGTGGGGGAGCCACGGGATGGCCAGGGCGGCTCAACAAGCTGTAGGGACAGCCAGGGGAGCCCCAAGAGTGACACAGAGTGAGAGAAGAGTGATGAGTGGGGAAGGGAGAGACAGCCAGGAACCTAATGGTACAAGGTTGGGTGGGCATGGCAACACTTTGACCATGCTACAGAAAATGCTGGAGAGTTTGGTGTGGCACAGGGACTGGATTGGATTTGGGTCTCAGGCAGGAACATGCTAGGAGCACTAGAGGGGCAGAAGCAGAAGCCCAGATGCTGGCAGGTGTGTGACAGCCATGAAGACCCTGAGTAACTAGCGTGTTTTGGAAGCGGAGCCACCAAGAGTTTTCAGACAGGTTAGAAGATGTCAAGCTTGGGCTCAAGTCACAGGAACGGTAGGGGTGTGTGATCTGGCGGTTACTGTGAGAGCTGTGGTCTCAGTGGGCTAGTACTCAGCAAAACAAAAGCAAACGGGAGCCAACCATTGATACACACACAGCAGCCCGGTGCTCAAGCAGCACAGCAGTGAAGAGCGTTGCGCTGAAATGAGGCTCCAAGCGACTCTCTGCAGGATAGCAAAGCTAGTGATGGTGTGTAAGCAGCAGATGGCCGGAGTTAGGAAGGGATGGAGGGATGACATTAAAGGGAGAGCAGAAAGGAGTGCTTGGGGTGAGGGGATCCTTCGGAATCCTGGTCGTGACAGTGCTTCCACAAATCTGTACAGGGGTACACGGAACTCCACATAACAGAAGGCCAATACACTGAAAGACCACTTGAAAGCAATTGTTTAAAATTCCAAAAGAAGAGCTTAGAAGCCCCATAATGTCTCATCCTATGGTCGTTGTTAATAGATGAACGTGTTAAGCAGATAACGGTAGTATAAATTTGAAGGGTATATCATTACAGATTAGCTCATTTTTTTACATTGTTTTTTAAAACCAATGAGAGCTATTCAAGTAAGTAGCCTGCAGAAATTTTTTCTCTTTCTATAGGAAAGGCAAATTCATAGAGGAAAGAGACACAGTGAGAAAGATCTTCCATTCCACTGGTGGCTGCAATGGCTGGAGCTGAGCTGAGCTGAAGCCAAAAGCCAGGAGCTTCTTCAGGTCTCCCACATGGGTACAGGGTCCCAAGGCTTTGGACCGTCCTCCATTGCTTTCACAACCAGGGAGCTGGATGCAAACTGGAACAGCTAGGACACACGTGCTGGCCCCAGGTCTGCCTCTTCTGCAGGTCTGAGCTTCCTCAGCTCCACCCCCTGCATCTTCTCCAGGGCTCCTGGGGCAGTGTGGTGGCAGTTCTCAGCAGAAACCCCTCGCAGCCCCGGTCCAGCCAGGAAGTTGAGTTCTGTAAAGCCACCTGCTCCCTCTGCAGCTCCTACAGGACAGTGAGGTTTGCAGGACACCCTGCTCCGAACTCTCTCCAGGAACACAGAGCCACAGGGGCTGCGCCTCTGTCTGCTTCCTGGAGGCCCAGGAGCTCAGTAGCCTCAGCTCCCACAAACACCGCCCATTTCCTTCCTGCCTGCTCCTCTTCCTGCAGTGCCAGTCGCCGGTCTTGCGGTTTCCTGACCTGGCAGTCATGTACTTGTGACGAGGGCAAGCGTTGTCTTTGCCCGCTGCAGGGTCCCTTGGATCATCTTCCCTGTTGTTCACAGGAGCCATTGCTTCATGTTGAGCTTCAGTCACATGGTAAGGCAGCACTCTCGTTGTCCCATCCTATGTGTTCATTTATCTATCTGTCTATCTTTTTTTTAAAGATGTATTTTTATTATTTTGTTATTGGAAAGGCAGATATACAGAGAGGAGAGACAGAGAGGAAGATCTTCCATCCGATGATTCACTCCCCAAGTGAGCACAATGGCCGATGCTATGCCGATCCGAAGCCAGGCACCTCTTCCGGGTCTCCCACGCGGGTGCAGGTTCCCAAAGCTCTGGGCCGTCCTCGACTGCTTTCCCGGGCCACAAGCAGGGAGCTGGATGGGAAGCGGGGCTGCTGGGATAGAATCGGCGCCCATATGGGATCCCGGGCGTGCAAGGCGAGGACCTTAACCACTGTGCCACTGCGACGGGCCCTATCTATTTATTTTTAAAGTCACACAAGACCTAAAGTTGAAACCTGCTCTGCTCTCCGTTGGTAGCCTCAGGGCAGAGGGTCTGTACTGAGGAGGCCTGATGCCACTCAGGCGGCAGCAGGTGGGTCCTGGCCTGTAGCCTTGAGCTATCTGGGAGCTGGCCCAGGTGGGGGATTAGTGACCGACTCCCCCATTCCTCCTAACTGTGAAAGCCGCCCAGCAGGACATGCCAAGCTGGCCTGAGGGCGCTGCCCTTGTTGTGCCATCGCTTGGCATCAGCAGACACCACTCGGCTGGCTGAGGCAGCATCCTTGGGTGGGCAGCAGGCCCTCCCAGCTCTGTAGGGCCCATCCCTCTACCTCACCTGTGTTCAGTGGTCACAGCTGATGACTTGGAACCCAGTGGAGCTTTCCACGTGCAAGGCTCACAGGGACAAGCCCACGAGTTGAGCCACTTGGAGTCCAGAGACTGTTGTCCCTGGTGTGGCCCCTCCGGCTGTTCCTGCAGCGACAGCTCCCACTTTGCCGTGGTTTTCTATGACTTGTTCACAACTTTGCTCTTTTCCTTCCTGCTTTGGTTTTAGTTGAGCATTTTATAGGATTCTTTTCTTTTTTGCCTTCTCAGTATTAGCAATTATGTTTCCTTTTTACAATTTTGTTCTAAACTGTGTTTTACTGTGTTTTACTTTTAAACTGTGTTTTTATTTTACTTGAAAGTGAGTCAGGGGCCCAGCACAATAGCCTAGTAGCTAAAGTTTTTACCTTGCATGCGCCTGGATCCAATATGAGTGTCGGTTCATATCCTAGTGGCCCAACTTCCCTTCGTGCTATTGCCAGGGAAAGAGGTAGAGGATGGCCCAAAGCTTTGGGACCCTGCACCCACGTGGGAGACCCAGATCTCATGGATGGCAGGGACCCCTCCTGAATTCTTACTCGCTGCTGCCTCCCAGGGTGCACGTGAGCAAGAAGTTGAGTCAAAAAAGGAGCCAGAAGTTGAACCCAGACATTCCAATACAGGATTCCAACAAGCGGTACTAACTGCTATGTCGAACACTTGATCCTTAG